CGTGGGGTCTCCGTCAGTCTGTTAACACTGCTCTGTGGTGAAGACTTGCTACCAAGTCTTGCTGGCTTCTGTGTCCCTTCAGATAGGTGTGATATCTCCTGAGTACATCCTGCCAGGGTGAGGCCATAGCAAGGAAAAGCTGCCAAGAAATGTATCTGGGTGTCTTGTTTAGCAAACTTTTGCAAGCCACTGGGTTAGCCATTAAGAATGTATTTAGTTTGAGTTCATTTTTAGTTTGGTATAGCACCACCTATGCTTTAAACCAACCCTCAACATTTATGAAGGGGCAGGTTAAGATGCCTATACTGTCATTTCTAGATGTGCTTGATTAAAAAACTTCTCTTTAAGAAGTGACTCTCTTCCAGGCTGGTCACCCTTGTAGTCTTCATGCCTCTTCTAGTTTGAATATATGTCTTGCATGTAACTACATACCATTTTACATAATTCCCCCAAAGGTTCTGTACCCTGAGTTCCTATTTAACCACCTGAGCATGTAAGCTGGTGTGGGTTTAGATCGAGGTGGGGTAGAAAACATGATGTCACAGGCAGAAAAACAGAAAATCACACCCAGGCCAGCAAAACCAGAGTTTCTTCCCAGTTTGGACTGTGCTAGCAAGAAAGAAAGAGAAGAGTCTAATGCTGAGGATGCCACTTCATAAATAAGGCTGAAACAATCAATGTTTGGTGGCATCAAACAACTTAAGTCATCCTGCTCCCTTCCCACTGCTCTGTCAGCACAGTTCTACCCTCTGTGTTGGTGCTGTGCTTCTGACTCACTTGCAAAGCAATTCAGGTCACCAAGCTGGTGTAAAGTGCTTGTGTTGCATTGACTTCCAGAATTTGTCAAGAGCTTACATGGCAGGGTGGTATGAGGGTGTGTGTGAACAATTCCTGCATCAGTAAGCTATTGGACTGGCTTGCCTCAGAGAGGTATCAGAAATTGTAGCTTTAGTTTAAACATGATCTTCATGCAAATAGATACAGGTGATGAAAATAGTGATTTCCTTTAAGGTGAGAAAAAGGAAATTGCTGGCAGTCTGTCTCTCGCAGACATTTCTATTACTGTGGTTAATGGTGATAAGAAGGTTTATCTGCATTAATGACTTTTCTCAGAAGGCAAATGGTAAAGTTAGGCTGCTAAAAATTGCTCATTAATTTGGTTTGCATTATTTTCATTTTCTGTTTTCAGTGAAGGGAGCAATCTCACCCCTGCTCATCATTACCCTGACTTCAGATTTAAGACGTATGCACCTCTTGCCTTCCGCTATTTCAGAGAACTTTTTGGTATCAAGCCTGATGATTATTTGGTAAGAGCTTGCAGTTTTCCTTTGAGTTACAAGTTGTTATAAAATATGTTAGTTTCATAGTGACAGGAGAGGATGCTTAAATGGTGCCCAAATGGGTAGCAAATTTTTGTGTGTGGTGGGAATTTATACCTAGTGAATATTTAACAAAAATTTTATTTCTTCACCTTTGAGACTGTTCATATGAAAACTTGCTTTGTTAATTGACTGGAGTAACTTCCATATCATTCAGGTAATTTTTTTCAAGAGAAGTTATAATCAATACTTGTAGGGCTTCTACCAATTCAATTCTAATAAAGTATTGTTGTGTTATTTGTGTTACTTATTCGCATCAGTAAATAAGTGATGCCTGCAAATGTTCCCATCTAGCCTTGAGGAATGTGGGTAGCAGTCTAAAAATGAAGCATTTTAGAGTATCACCTTTGTTGTCTCTATTTTGTAGTTTGAAGACTTATCCTTTCACAGCATTTATCAGTTTACATGAGAAAAATGTGATGCATTTGCTGCCATCATAAAAACAGGTGTTACTTGATGGAGCCACTTTGTACACTGCCAGGACAAATATACAGTATTTTACTTCTGTAGTTCTGCTTTTGGAAGGCTTGTGTGAAAGCAAAGGGCTGGATTGTTTCCTAGATGTTTGCCCCACATCCAATTTGCCTTAGTGGGCCACACAACAAATCAGAGTCCCAGTTCAAATCTGCAATTTTATATGTCAGAGTTTTATTGTTCACGTCTTTCGAGTGAGTTTTTAAAACTTTTTCTTCCGTTATTAATAACTGCTTCTTTAAAACCAAAATAATTTGAAAAGGCTTGAATGAATAAAAAAGAAATAGTGATTAAATGGCGCTGAAACATTAGTTACTGTATTACTAAATATATTTCCTGTATTGTGTTCAACTGTGTTATAATGTGTGTTTTTTCCTTTTTTTGGACAATAAGCCTAAATCCAAAACTTAGCTCTTTTCCTTTTATTTAGGTTGAACATGGGCATCTGATTTTAATTCTTTAGTACTATGTATGGATTTTGTATTACTAGTCCTCATGACAATAGCTATGTATAAAACTGGATAATTCATTTGAATTATAAATGGCAATAGCAAGGAAATTCGCTTGGTTTGGAGTTCTATAAATCATTGAATCATAGAATGGTTAGGTTGTAACAGATCTGAAAGATAATCTAGTTTCAACCCTCGTGCCATGGGCAGTGACACCTTCCACTAGACCTGTGGGCTCAAAGCTCCATCTAGCTTGGTCTTGAACACTTTGAGGGGTGGGGCATCCGCAACTTCTCTATGCAACATGTTCCAGTGCCTCACCACCTTCACAGTGAAGAACTTCTTCCTTATATCTGCTCTAGATCAACTCCAGGTGGGGTCTCACAAGAGCAGAGTAGGGGGAAAGAATTGCCTCTGTTGACCTGCTGGTCACACTTCTTCTGACGCAGCCCAGGATGCACTTGGCTCAGGACTGCCACAGCCCAGGTGCAGGACCTTGCACTTAGCCTTTTTGAACTTCATGAGGTTTGCACTGGCACACCTCTCAAGCCTGATAAGGTCCCTCTGGATGGCATCCCTTCCCTCAAAATTCCTGAGGGTGTGCTTGATCGCACTGTCCGTGTCACCAACGAAGATATTACATGGTGCTGGTCCCAATAATGACCCCTGAGGAACAGCACTTGGCACTGGTCTTTACTTGGACAATGAGCTGTTGACCACAACTCTTTCCAGTGAGACCACTGAGGCAATTCTTTATCCACCAAGTGATCCATCCATCAAATCCATGCCTCTCCAGCTGAGAGAAAAGGATGCCATCTGTGATAGTAGTGCCATTATATAATATGTTGCTTATCTATCTCTTTTGATGGGCTTGGCAAAAGATGAACTATGCAGACTGTGTCACCAGCTACTAAAAAGACTGTACTTCCAAGAGTACAGCTGTTGTCATCTGCATCTTCTGTTCCATCTCAGGAAGCCTTTGCAGTAGCAGAAATTAAAGATTATAGAAAGACTACTAGATGTGGGTAAGAGATTTGTGATACTCAGTTTAACTACAAAAAGACTATTCCCTGAGGGGAAATAATTTATAAAAGCAACATGTTGCAGATTCTTTTTTCTCCTGGCACAGCGAAAGGCACAAGTAGTATGGGGTAAGTAGTTGTCCAATTATGGCTGAAGGACAAGGGAAGTAAACTACGAGAAGAAATCGCAGCAAGTGTATGTGAGTTTACACAGTTAATTTGTTGTGACAATGCCAAAAGATTTACAGTTTTACCTTTTCTAAGGAGATTGAGTGGTAATGCACTGTAGGAGTCAGACCAGATAACAAGGGTAAATACATTGGAACAGCTGGTAGAGTTAAATTGTCACTGGAAACCTCATGGAGTGCTGGCATTTTGCAGGGAACCTTCTTGATCATAAAGTACTCAGTTGTCAGGGTCTTGGGGATTCTCTAACTTTTCAGTTTTGATTTGGCTTCTGGAAGTGTCCACTCAAAATTAGTTGTGCTCTTTGTGTCGCAGCCCTTGGTGGGTAGACTTCTGTTTTGTAAAATGACCATCACAGAGTGTGTGTTAACAGCTTGTGCTTACACTATACTGTTTTATTGTGCTTTAGTATTTAGGATAATTGGTTTCAAATGCTTACCACAATGACAGTTACTCATGACAGTTTAAATATTTTGGCAAGAAAAATGCAGGGGTTGCAATACAACTGCTGATTTGCTCTAAAGGTTTATAGTGTTGCAAAGTGATATGGCTGTTCTATCTGTAGAAAATTGCAACTGTAGGCCTAACAAGAGAGGTCTTATGTATTAATTGAAGCTGAGTGACAGCAGAAGCAGGAAGAGAAACAGGAAACATTTTTATATTGTGCAAAAGTCTCTTAAAAATTGTAAGCATGGAAAAAGCCTCAGATGGAGCCAGGATGCAAAGATGCATTAAGGCAGTGGCTTGAATCCATAGGAAGCTTCTTTAGTTGAACTTCTTTAGTTCAAGTGCTCACAAAAGAGCATGTTATTTTTTTAGATTTTCTTCTGTTACTTCTTTGCTATCACCAGCCACTGAAATCAATGGCGAGACTCCAGGATGGATTTAATAAAAGTTGTTTTCGACAAACAGAACTTTCTTTGCTTGTGGAGTTGCCTAGCTCATCTCAGGCAATATTGCAATAAGCCAGATATTTGTTACTGAAACGGTGCCTGCTTTTGTTTTGAGAAGACCAGAAGACACTGCTCTGCTCAGAAAAACTACCTGGTGCTTACACTATTCACAATTCACTTACTGTGTAATTTTGTTTCGTGGAA